GGGTACCACTTTATTGGTATTTCTTTTTGGACATTCTTCACTTTTTACTTTTGGTTTTGACTTTTACCCTTGCCTGCATGAATGACGAAACACGAATTGAATGATTGGAGAGTTAGGTTTGGAGGCAACTTCCCCTTGATAAGTCTGTCTCCTGCCTGCTCAACAGTCATTCACTTATGCATTTTTAAAAAAAAATTGTATGGATTAATTTTAATTTGCTAAATTAGTAAATTTATTTTAATGGATTGGTTTTGCACTTGATTTGCTTATGCATCTGAATTTAAATGATATTGTAGATTAGTTCGAAAATTAAATCTTTTATATGTTTACACATTTTTTAAATATATATTTATTTTTTTTTAATATTTTTTAAATTTTTTTGGCTTTAATTTGTTTTTTTTTTTTTTAATTTTTGGCTCAATTGCTTTTAGGTTCTTGAAATTTTATTTTTTTTTTCAGGGTGCACAATGGGCAAAAAACAATTTTTTTTTTAAATTGTTAAAAAATCATTTTATATATCTAATTGGTTTGTTCAAAGGACTACATATAGTCCTTATTCGTTTTGTATATTGTCCGTATTTACTAGTCCTTATTATATTACATATTATAGTAATGCATTTTAGTAATATTTACGAATTCGCATTGATACTGTGACACAATCATTTTGCTTCTTGAAGGCAACTTTTGCAATAAACTTCGAATGTTTCAGTTTCATCATAAAAAATTATTTTTTATGGATATTTAGCACTAGGATTTTGATACGAAAAATATGATTTAAATTTTGTGCTCTAATTTTGCATTAAACTGGACCAAAATTTTTGGGAAATCCTCTTGTTATTGAAAACTAATACATATATAAAAGTAGAAAATAGTAGTTTCTCTAAATTGTTTTGAATTTCTTTTAAATGAATGTCAAATGCTTCTAGGATTAATATATTCCTAATTGTAATGGGTAAGAATTGCAATAAAAATTATAGCTCATAGGAAATGTAGAATTATAAAAAAAAACAATCAGATAATTATGAATTTTCTCAACTATATTCAGAATTCTTGCATCTTTTTCTTTAGCATTGGGTCATCTATGATTGTTTCACTAATGACCTAGCTAACTACAGTGTTATCAAATGAGTCTTACAAAAATGCATATTATGATGCTTCAAATCATTAAAACAGTATAGATAATGGCTATCTGGTTACATCTTTGTGTAAGGTCTTTCTGATTTGTATATAAAAATATTTGAGTTATATTTATTTTATTGACAAATGTTTAGAAAGCAGACGTAAAACTCTGATTGACTTAAATGAATGTAGGTCTTTACATTTATGACTGAAAATAATGCTAGTTTCATAACTCCCTACAATTAAATATAATATGAATTTCTTGCATATCTATGAATTTGCAATTTGAAAGACACACAATTTGCATTTTTGATAGTCCAGTATCAATGAACACATAAATTCAGAAATTTTAATGAAGAAGATTTCTACTTTTTCTACAATATTCATTTAATTTATTTACAGTTATGTATAGAGTTTGAGCTTAATTTCAGGAGAGGAGACTAGAAATGTTAACTTTTTGTTTACTCGTTTACCTGTTGTAAAAGTATCTGGAAGTGGCATTCGAAGGTAATTTGAAATTTTTACTTAACTTTAATATCTTCTACAATTTAAACAAAATGAAGTAATGTGGTATGCATTATAGAAGAAGATATGATTTTACTAAATAATTACAATATTATTTTTAAAAAAAAAACTGGTGTAAATATCTTATTTTTCTTTCATGTCTTTCTTTTTCTTTTTTTCTTTTTTTTTTTTTTTTTTTTTTTTTCATTAAATTACTAGACAAATTGCGTACTTTTGACCGATCTTACTAAAAAAGGTTTGGTTCCTGGAGTAATCATCCAAATAATTTTAAAAATCATTTAAAATGTGAAAAAGGTTGGATAGGAGGTAGTCAGCTGAGGAGCATTTGATATTTTCGTTTGAAAAGTAAAAAAAAAAATATATATCTTTTCTCATTTTAGATCTTTTTTTTTTTTTTTTTTTTTTTTTTTTAAACAAACCAAACCAACCTTATCTCATATAAAAAAAATAAAGCTTTGAAAACTACAGATCTCAATAAGTTCAATCTCAGTGCAGATTTCAAAAGTTCTTTTGATGCCCTTCAAGTTCCATAACAGACATAAAAATTCTTGTGAAAGGCATCTCTCGTGAATAAAAAATACATTTTTATTTAATTAATTAAAAAGAATAAATATTTTAGTTAAATAATAGTTTTACTTTTAATAAACATTAAGTTAAATTAAATTTAAATAATTCTCTTGCGCATTGATTTAAGTAATGAAATTTGAATTTAAAAAAACATTCTCTATTCGTAAAAAGCAAATTAAAAGTTAATTAAATTTTAAATTATGAAATTTAATTGTAAACAAATGAATGATTAATTATTGCTGCGAACTAATCTGCAATATCATTTAAATTCTGAATACATGGATGACGAAACACGAATTGAATAATTGAAGAGTTAGGTTTGGAGGCAACTTCCCTTGATAAGTTTGTCTCCTGCCTGCTCAACAATTATTCACTTATACATTTTAAAAATTTTTTTTTTACGGATTAAAAAATTTTTTTGGAATTATATATTTATTCATGGATTTTGATACTTTCACGTAATTTATATATGCTCTCAGAATTTAAATGATATTGTAGATTAGTTCGCAGCAATAATTAATCATTTATTTGTTTGCAATTAAATTTCATAATTTAAAATTTAATTAACTTTAAATTTGCTTTTTACGAATAGAGAATGTTTGTTAAAGTTTTATTTTAATTAAATATGTTTACTTTTTGTTTATTTGCATTTTTTCTATTGATTAGTTCTTAAATGTTAATGTTTTTTAAAGAAATCGAAAGTTGATTAAAGAAATCGATATATTAATATATGAATATAATATATGAATCATATGCTGAAAAATTCTTTCCCTATGCTATTTACATAATCAAATGGGTTTTTTTTTATACTGAAATAAGTACTGGATATATACTGAAAAGTTTTTTTTACATTCATATACTGAAAAAGTATTTCCTTATGCTATTTATATAGTGAAAAATGTTTCCTTATTGTGAAATAAATACTGAATGTATACTGAAATGTGTTTTATATTCTTCCCTAATGCTATTCATATGCTAACTTGTTAGTTTTGAAAGACTCTTTTTAACTTTCCCTCTATATTAATTTCCAAACTTAAGCTGAAACTTCGTTTGCAACATTAAACCACAGTATTTTATAAAAGAAGACTTCCATCATAAGTCATCTATTTTATGAAGCAGTATAGAGATTGTTTGTTGAATTACATAATCACCTTGTATTAATGTTTATTTCTCAGATCAAATTATATCCAAAAGTGCATCCTGAAAAATTCGTTTACAATAGACTGTGTTACTTTCAGATTTTGCAGTGCGTCAGGAAATAATATTTTGAATCTATATTTTAATCAAAAGTTGCCATTCTTAATATTATACTATTTTTATTCAACACAGTGCTTTATAATCCACTCTTTTATGATGTTTAAGTAATTATAAAAATTTATAGTTGTTATTGAATAATGAAAAATATTTATGACAGCATTATAAAATTTAGCGTAGATATGTCAGCCTTGTTCAAAATTTGTAGCTTAAGAATAAACAATAATTTTACTTTCTTTCATTTCGTAAAAAAGGTGATATCATGTCAAAACTTTGCAAATAATGTACCATCTATTAATGCAGTTATAAAAAATTAATTAAATAATAAATACTTCATTGTATACATTTAAAAAATTAGGAGCGCGAGAAAACTGTAAACATAGCAGAAATTTCCGCCTAAGTTAGAACTAATATTTAATATTGCTTCATAAATATTTTCGAATAAGCTATACATGGAAAACCATAAGCATATTTTGAGAATGTATTTTTGTAGCAAAAGACCGATATTTATAGTGTTACCCATTGCAGAAAAACATGAAACTCTCTAAAATACCTTTCATATTTATCAAATAAAACTTCCATTTATATATCATTCTATATTTAGCAAATGAAAAACTGCTGTTAAGGATTTTTAACGTTAAATTTACATTACTGTCATATAATAAATTATTTTTAAAATTATGTTATATAATCAGTATTGATCAAAATTGAAATGACTAGGGATTTAAAAGCAAATCTCTTACCTCAGTTTTCAAATTTTCCCCCTCTTAAATATGCAGAAATACGCAATAAAATACCGTATTGTCTCAAAACATAATGGTGTCATATATGAAAAAGTTTTTCTTTTAAGAATCTTTCAGAAAGACAAAAGGGGCTTACATATAAAGATATAAGTGGGCCACGTATATAAGTTTGATATATCAAAGTAAGTTACAAGAAAAGCCATTAAAAGTCTAATCTTATTATATTTGAGATAAAATTAAGTAAATATATCTCCCATTGCTTTACGAGTTAAAAAATACTCTTAAACGTATTCTTTAATATTAAGCTGCCTGATCAGGATGATTTCAGTAAAGGAATAGAAATTGAAAATTTCGTCTTATATGCATCCACAATGGTATTAAATTTACTGAATTTTATTAAAATATAGATAGCTTATTGAAGCTAAAAATTTATCCACTGTAAACAAATACTCTAAAGTCATTTTCTCACACAAACATGAATTAATGAAAAATGAAACGAAATAAAATTTTAATTGATAGGAATTTTTCAAAAATATCGTTATTGTTAATACCAAATCTCCAATAAATTTTAGCTTCGCATACCGTTTCAGTTAATAAATGATATTTAAACGAACAAGGCATCATCATTTGTCGTTCATAATTTCTCTGATGAAATAAAATTTGATTTATACTACCAAAGAGTGTATATACCAAAGAGGCTTAAATAAAACACATTATATGGAGTAAAATATCATTCACATATATTCATGAAAGCTAGTATAATTGTAAATATCAACTCTAAGAGCATAAAAGTTCGCCTAATATTTTTCAGAAAATATAATGTAATTACGACTCATGTTAAAGCTGTAGTAATAAAAACATGTATAATTATATCAGACATTAAACATCCTCATTAATTAATGTATAAAAAATTTACACCTGCAGTTGAAAATTGTAGGCTATTCCCCTTAAATAGTCTAAAATAGGCCGATCATTATAATCATTTACAATCTTTTGAATTCTGAGAGATGTATCTCTGTAAACTTTTCTACTTACTGGTGGATGGTGACCTGCAATGTATTGTTCAATTTTTATAGAATTTAAATTTTGTTCCTTTTTTAAGCAATCAATAAATTTCCAGATTGTTGGATGGCATCCGTTCATAAGTTCGTTGAATCTGCGATGCCATCCTTCAACCGCATTATTTGTCCTTGGAACTTTATCTTTTACAGCATCATAACAGTTCCAAAGAGGGATGTCAAACACTGGTCTGCGACGTTGTCCACGACGAGTAAATCTACCAATCCATGTGTCTTCAAAATAATTTATGATTGGCTGAATGATGTTCATATTATTTACAAAATAAGTAGATGATATTAATTGTTCAAATGCTTCAATGACATCTGAAGTAGGAACGAAAGCCAAAGCTGCAAGTTGAGAGATTTCCAAAACGAAATTCGGATCAGTTTCATATTTACTTTGCAAACCTGCAGACTGAATCTTTCTATACACACACTGACTTAAATGAAAAAAACATCCTCTCTGAATGATATTCGGAAAGGAATTTTTAAAGGCATTTATGGCAGCCTTTTCAAAATCAGTCATTACAGTTTTGGGCTGCAGATTCGGTTTCAAAGATTTTATCACCGTAAACACTCTATTGTATGTTTTCTTCGCGTTTGTTTGGCATTAATACATACACTGAAGGTATCACATTATCATATTTAACACCATGGATTGTATAAATCTGACTGAAAAGCGGTGGTGTTGCTTTAAAAGTTCCATCAGCAAACCAGTTCGGACATTCAGCCATGAAGTCCAGATTTCTGAGGGTCGAAAAAATTAGAATTCTGTCTGTCTGCACTCCACTGTCATACAGCAAAAATTTCTCTCTTCTTTTAGTGTTTTTGAAAACTGTTCTGGGATTACTAATTCTTCAAGACATCTAGGATTATGCAATGGCATTTCTCCGTGTCGAGCATATCTGATAATTTTTTTAATATTTTCCACTGGTGGTATATGCCCCGAAACAGCACAAGGAAGACCAATTGTACCAACTGCTGCTAAAGAATGTGTCGATTCTTGCGTTGTTACCGCACGCTCTTTAATTGAACTCATAATCTCTTTCGCTGTAATTTTGCCAGCATTTGGAGGATGCCCGTGAGATTTTTCAAGAATGATATTATCATCTTGAGTGTGAATTCGCCCTTTACACTTACAAGTAAAATACTCTACACATTTCCAAATACTTTTCTCAGCACTAGCACGTTCAAAATTATAGATGTATCCTTTCACCATAAGTTGTTTACGGTTCTTTTGGCTGATGATATAGTGTAACGGCATGTTGGCTTCTCTGACAGAAAATGCAGTTAAGTTTCCGAGTTTCAGGTACAACTAAGACTTGGAGCATCAGACATACATTATTTACCTAATTGTCAAACAATGGTTTTCTCGAGGCAGGAGTTTACAGTTTGTTAAGTAAAAATAAGCAGGTGTTCCATTATTGAACACAGTTAGTATATGTTTATTAGTAGTTGAACACCAGGAAAATTTCTGTGAACTGAAAAATGTCAGCTAAGCAATTTACAATTTGATTTATTTTTAGTGTATCTGGAATCATTATTGCTAGTTTAAAACTAATGAGCAGTTTTTGTATATAGTGCTGGAACAGATTAAAATTTTAATAAAAATTAAACTCGAGGTTCCTTTCAGGTAACAAATATTAGCATCTTTACTGAGAAAAGCTAGTAAACAGAGTTTTGAAATCGGAATAAATTATTTAATTATCTTAAAATGGTTCAAACCCAAAGAAAAAGATCTTTAAATCAAATATCAGATAGTAATTGAATCTTAAAATAATTAGACTGAAATTTTATGATAAACAATTAGAAGTAAAATGAAGATAGAAAGAGAGATGAGTCTAGTTAAAATAAAAATATCTGTGTAGAATTAAAATAAAAAAGAGTAAAAAATACAGCAATCCAACATCCAAGTTTTAGTTATAGAGATGTCTTATATAAGCATATTATACTCTAAGTAAAGTGGTAAAAAGCCTTCCGTGTCATATTTTTTTGTACAACTGGTCTATTGTAATGATCTGAATGTTGAGTTTTATCAGAAGTACTTTATTAATTACGTATCTCGAGGTCTCTATCGATATTTATCCACGTATTGGCGAGCAGCGAGTACCAGATGCATGTAGATCACAGCCACTATCATACTATAAGACTATAAGAAAACCATTTACTTGAGAAACTTAAGATTGAGTCTACCAGGAAAATCAGAAATGAGCTATGAGCTTTAAATCTAAAAGTCACTCTGCACGTTTTTTGACGCATTTTCATTTTTTATTGAATCTTTTTGTTTTTGTTTCACATTTAATTTTATATGAACAAACGTTTCGCAAAGCATTCGAATTTATAAATTATAATCTTTAATCTTACTGTAATCATGACCCCTATTAGTGGTCCGAATGGTTAAAATCGCTGAATGCTAGGAGTTTGAACGCAGTGCCATTTCAGGCAAAGAGGCTGGCTTCGTGGTTGGTATCGAGAAAGCCCTCATCGCAGGCATCCTTTCTCTAAGCTTGATAGCCTTTGTGTGCCTTGCCATATTTAAACAACCTAGCCTATTGTGTAAACATAGAAACATATGATAAGAGATTACACTCTTTATGGAAACGAAATGTACGTGTCGAAAGTGTGCAATTAAATTCTAGACATGTTGTTTACATATATATTTATATGTAAATGTAGTATGTAAATTGTGCAATGCGTTTATTTGCTAACAATTTTTATTTTTAGTGCATTTTTATAAAGAATTTAAATACCTCTTACATAATAACAGGACCGAGACAATGATGAAGAGAAAGAAGTACTCAGCTAGAATAAATAACTCAGACGGGAATTGCACGGGAAAAAATAACATGAAAGACAGTGTTATTTAAACCTGAAAATTAATTAATATGCATTATTCTCTGTCCTGATAAATATTTTATGTAGGTTTTTTTTAGTAATTAAGTCTTTTAATTAAGTTTTGTTTAATTAGGTTTTCTTATCATATGTGTGGAATTCAATCATTTAAGGTAATGTGGATTACCTCAGATAACAGGAAGTGCGGATAAATGGACAACTGTATTATTTCATAAAAAATTATCATTACGAAAATTTATTGCACACGGTACTGTTATTACGCAGTGTTATTACGCACGGTGTTAAAAAAAATGTCCCTGAAAAATTATCCTGGAAAAAATGTTCCAGTAAACATGTTTCCAGAAAAAATTAAATGTTTCTAGAAAATGTATGGCTATTTTCTTATTTTTCCAAATCTTATAGCAAACTATTTAGTGTCATATCATAAATATCACCACAAGTTTATATAACTTTTAAAATTAATGAACATTATTTAGCTTTTACATAAGAAAGTTGCCTTACATTTAATGAAATATGTTATACAAATGTACTAAATGTGAAATATTCTATAAAAGATACTTAAAGTGAATAGAATTAATCATACGATTGTGTTATGTGGATAATCACATATAAATTTAAACTAGGTCTTTGGAACATTGTGCATTATGCTTATCAATGTAGACGTTACGTCGATTATTTTTTTAACAGTTCGTCGTAAAGGCCAAATCATATTCCCAATTAGTAAAGCCGTATATCATACTCCTAGTTAATAATAATCCGTAAAATGATATTCCCAGTCCGTAAAGCTGTAGATGCTGTTTCTAGGCCGTAGATGTGAAATATATGATATTTTATTCTTTAAGGGGCTGTGTACAATTCTAAATTTTATTTTGTATAAATTTTTTTAAAGATTACATTTTAATTTAGAATTAAGATTAATTAGATAATTAAGATTACATTTTAATTTAGAATTACTCGGTCCTGTTATTATGTAGATTTAATCGTACAGGAACAGACGTTGTGAACACGAGACATAAAGAAAGACAGTCGTGTGGGCGTTTGTTGAGCAATCGGAAGCAAAGGGGAATTAATGAAACATTTCGGAAAGCGGAACTGGAAAAAAAAAAAAAAAAAAAACACAGTACTTTTAAAAGCATTATACCAATTTCATTTACTTGTAAAGCACTTATATTTTTTCATTTCTTCGTATTTATATTATTCTCATTATTTACATAAACTAAAGTTTTATTCCTTAAATACATTAAATCGTAAAAGGAAATTTTATAATTTTGTGTGTTTAAAGACCGGACACCAAATTTTTAAAGTTGTTTTGACAGATTAAAACATATTTCGGGAAAATTTGTATATTTCTCTTATTGGTCTGAAGAAGTATTTAATAATAAAGAAATTTAAAAAAAAAAAATAAATGCGTAATGCACAGTTCTGAAAAGACACTGCTTAAAGTTTATATAATTAAAAAAATTATTTAATTTTGGAAAATCTTGTTCCTCAGATTTTAAATATTTTCCATTCTCAGCGACAAAGTTTGAATTTATGATGTTTTTATCATACGTATAATCGTAGAGTTTCGCCTCCTTAATCGAACTACGTAGATATGTAATTTTATTGGAAAAAGTTTAAAATTTTGGATTATTCATTATTCGTATCGTTGAACTTAGGCCAAAAAAGAAAGAAAAATGTTAATTAAATCTATATTTTTAATATAATTCATTGATGAAATTATATATTAATTAAATAAATCTGTATGTATGAATACTTATATGCAAAAGAGGCAAAGGGCCTTTTTTCAAAAACAAACAAGGAAGGGCGATCTAAACACGTTTGAACTCTAAACTTTTCTGGGTTCTCTTTTTAAACTGCATGGTAGATGTAAAACACACAAATACTAAGAAGTTAAGAAATGCTATTTCTGTCTGTACATGGACCATCATCAGTAATGACCGAAATTTTCAGCTGTCTTTTATTAACCAAATAGCCTTCAGCGGCCAGAGGGGACAGGACCCTGGAGTAAGGCTTGAACGAAACACCCGTTCTCACGGATGTTAACTAATGGTTGACTCTCCCCAATAGTATAAATAGCTGTAATTCATCCGCCCTCCCCTGAGTTCAGCCACTTAGCTTGTTTTTCAACTCAATACTCAAAACTAAGACCTTCAAGCGTTAGTTTCCCGAAAAGTTCTTAATTGCTTTCATCTTGCATACAGATTGCTACAATTCCCAGGCAAATCCTAATTCTCACTTCTCTTTCGAAACAAATATATACTACCACTATTAATGAAAGAAAAAATTTCATTTTATGAATAACTGAATATGAAATGTAATCATTTATTAAAAAATGAACTTTTGTAAAAAACTCATAAATCAATATTCTGAAAATTTTAAGTGCGGTGAAATACAGCATTTAAGTCTCTCCCTTAACCCTTTCAGTCCCAATGGGTTAAGTCCCAGTAGATGTTTAAAGAAACCTAGAGAGAATTAAACGCATTAATTTACTACATAGTTGATGTCCCACTGGTAGCAGGCATCATTTTTAACATCCCCATTACAAAATTGTTGCGCGCATCTTCTTATAGAGGCTTAGTGACAGACTGTCAATTTCTGTTAGTGTGATTTGTGTCATTTGTGATAATTACCAAGAAGGCATAAAAAAAATCAAGTCAGTTGAAACAAATAAATT